GGGGGGGGGGGGGGGGGGGGGGGGGGGGGGGGGGTAGGCGAGACTCTCGGCCGCCGCCGAACCGATGAAACGAGAATTTTTTTTTTTTTTTTTTTAATCTTTTTGGACATTTTTTACCCCGACGGCGACGGTCGGTATAGTGAGCGGCGGCGGCGGTAACGTCTAAATACTCGCGGATCGCCGCGTATACCTGTATACATAACGACGCAGCACCCCGCGGGGCCCAACCCCCCTCCCATCACCCCCAAACGTCAGATGTACGTACTCGTGCGTCGTTTCAGCTTTGTCAACGTCAGAAAAAAAAAAAAAACGGACGCGGCGATAATATTAAGTGCGGCGCGCGCGTCATATTCTATTCACGGAACGCGTATGTACGGGGGAGCCTGCGTAGCTGCGGGACACGTGAGAAATTAACCAGACCCGTACCCGGACGAGTTATGATACGACGCGCGGCCGACAAGATGGCGGGACGACGGGATATTTACCCGCTATTTTCGCGGTCCGCGATTCGATATTACGGCGTACGGAAAACGTCGATACGGATCCCGTCGTCGAAACCGAATCGGCGTCGGCTCTCCCCACGTCCGCCACAGTCGATATAACGTTTAATAGATAGGGAGGGGAGGGGAAACGACGCGATTAAAAAGACTGCGCGCAGCGGTCCCTCCTGTTCGAATAAATCGATTTTAAAATTTACTTAAAAAAAAAAAAAAATACAACGGGGTTTTTTTCGTCTCGGTATTACGGTGTTAACGTCGAATAGAAAGAAAATAAGGAGAGAAAAAGTTTTTAAAGAACGCAATTAAATCGAGATTTTTTTTCACCCGACCCCGCACGTCTCTTTCGCATAACGTACATATAATAATATAATAATGTTATGCGATTTTAAAGAAAATTAATTGTAAACTTTTCGAAAACGGTTTGATAACGATAAAAAAAAAAAATACAGTAAAAACCTATAATACGAAAGTCGCGTGACGTATAAAATCGGTACAAACATATTATGTGAAAAACTAAAATACATTACATTTCCTTTTAAAACTCAAAGTTACTACGAAAATGTGTTTAGTTTAGTTTTTATCGAATTTTATGTCACCCGAAAAATTGTGTGACATTTAAAAAAGAAAAAAAATTCTAAACATACACTCGCGGGTACGTTTGTTTATTACGTTATAAAATACACTTCTAATATATTGATTTTAGACGTTTCTAAAGTTGAAAATTAAATAAATAATTACTTTTGATGTATCAATACAATCTTCTATTATAAAAATTAATAACACGCACGGAAAACGTAAAATTTGATTTCAAATATTCATTATAAATAAAACCGTATACCTATAATCTGTACTGTTTCCATGTACTAGCGCAAATAGAGGGATGATCGGGGTGTCCATCCGAGTTCCCCGCCCCAAATGAGGTCCTCGTCCACCAATAGAGTCGAGCAGCTATTTTCGCCTGTATCCTAATGTGACGAAACTTTATTCAATATGTTTTCACTGAATAAAGTCAAAAGTCCACCGCTAGAGGATCACTATACTCACATTTACATAATATTGTACGAGCAACAGTCGTTTCGAGTTTTAGTTTTAATTCATTCAAGAATTCAATAAACAAGAATATTTGCGCGGATATTGTTAATTTTCACAATACGTTTGTAGTAGTTTGGATGCGTATTAGTTATTCGTTTATGTTAATGTCCTTCGTTTAGTTTTCTATTAATACTTTGTTATCGATAATTTGTACGTTTATCCGTCTCGTATACGAAAGTAACCGTTGCCAGTCATATATTTAAAAAAAAATCTCTCTATGAAAAAATATTCAGTTTTCGTTGTACACGCATTACGCACGCGTCGCTGGGGGTTGCAGTAAACGATATCGTTCGATACCAGCGAAACAAACGGAAATCGGGTTGAGGGTACGACACGAAAATCGAACGTAATAATTACTATACGGAAACGGAAAGCCCGTAAAATATCATAAAAAATATACGTACGCCATACCGTGTACAAAAATGTTGCGTTCGAAATAATATTATATAGTATATGGGTATGGGTGTAGGTACCTACGATAGAACGCGGTGACACGAACGGGTATTACGAGGTATAAGTGTATTATAATAATACGACAATATTGTAATCATAATTCCTGTAAGTATACGTCAACACCTCTTTATACATATTAAAATATCATATTATACAGGTTTATCAATTAGTTAGCGCGAGGGAGTTAGAGCTGCAGGTGAATAAAAAGTAGGCACTTTTTGTTACATACAATACATGTATATATTTGTTTTTTATTTTTTTTGTTTTCCCCGATTATTTCATCAATTCAAACATGCACGTTATCACACACACACACACACATGTCCAGCGTACGACAAACAAGCCGGATAGGTTTTTTTTTTTCGCACAGCACACACGCACCATATAATTTTAATATACGTATATATACTGCAGGTACAGGTATACGCGAGCTGCAATATTAATATTTGTGTTGACGGGGGCGACAATTTCCCTCTCGCCCCTCCCTCCCTCCCCGTTTTGTGTTGAACCTATATTATATTCCGTGTTTAATTACCGTCATCTGATAAAACAACAACAGGCGTATTATAATATTAAAAATAAAAAAAAAAAACCCGTAATGCCAGATCGATATCGCAGTTCGTGCGCGCGCGTATGTGTAACTTGTATGTTTTTTTTTTGTCACAATTCGAAGCGGCGCGGTGTTTGTACACACACACACACACAATGTGTACCATCACATTGATTCACCTGGTATATTATAATTATTATTATTATTATATTATAGTGGGATGCACGAAAGAGACGGGGGAAAAAAGAAATAAAGAGAAACAATAATGTCAACAAATTTGCATACGCACGGGATCCTGCACCGCCTCGTCCTATATAACGGCCGCACTGCAGCGGTTGAGACAAGAGGAGGAGATACAGTGTGTGTGTGTGTGTGTATGTGTGTTATTTTCTTTGTTCCGGTATTTGAAAAAAAAAAAAAATGGTTTTTTTTCCCGCTTTATTAGGTCGGTAAAATAAGCTTTTATTATATTATACCGTCAAACTATACGTAGTACATCGTCTGCACGTGGACGCGGCCCGTCTGTCTGTCTATAATATTATTAGGTGTATACAGGTATTATAATATAGACAGTCCGACAATAGAAAAAAAAAACAACCAATTTCCGTTCGAAAAAATAACACATCATCGGTTTGACGGACGGACGTAAATATTGTCTTTTTGTTTTATCTATACGCCTATACTAGTACATGGGTAATGTTTCGCGCCGGTAAACGGTGACACGGTACGAGTGCGATGCTAATTTCGTGAGTGCGTACGAGTTCTATACGGTATTACGGATATAAAAAAAAAACGGTCAACAAATTGGATTGTTTTCGTTTTTTTCGAAAGCCTACAGGACGAGAGTTTATATTTATTCGTTTAATTCGAATTCGTTAATTATTCATACGCGTATACATATAACACGCCGTATATTAACCGCGCGCGTATAGCGGAGTTTTTGTATATAACATGTTGACTTTTATTAATTTTATAATACTACTTTTTTTTTTTTCTACTTACCGCGGTGTCTAATTATAATTGTTATATAATAAAGTTAATTAAACTGCATCAAACAACGACGTCACATAAAAAACGCCATACACGCCGCACAAACTGTGTCACGCGTGTTAATATGCAATATAATACACGGGTACATACCAATACTCGGGCAAGTCTGTACGTTACAATTTTTTTTCTTTTTTTTTCTTTGGTATTTAAATTCGAATAATCCTATAGGGGCAAAGTTTTTTAACATTTATTTTTGTTTTTTTTATTTTGTTCAATGATGATTTCGCGATAAAATTATTCTACGAATCGGTAAATATTGTTGCGCGTTGAGTCTTTGTTCTCGGGGAAATCTATAAGCGTTGTTATTACATTGAGATGTTTCGCATACCGGATCTTTGTTAAAAATATAAATATCGAAAAAAAAAAAATTCCACGCGAACGTCGCTTCGACAACGTCCCTGTCTTTGAGTTGATGCTGCAGTGGACGGACGCGCCTCTAGGTGGGAGGCCGGATAACATAAAATCGTTTAAATAATGTATATCCATGATGGCAACAGTGGTGGTAAACCGTCGCTAACGAAAACGATTCGAAGCGGAGTTCGGTTACACACCATAAGGCCGTAATATTTACGATTTAAAACTATTAGGTTAGGTTTTTTTTAAAAAATAATAAAAACTACATTACACTAAATTTTTTTATATTTATTTATTTATTTTTTTTTTTTTTTGATCGCTCGGTACGACACTAATCGTAAATACATCACAAATTATACCGAATTCCCGAACGTTTCGCCGTTTGTTAGTCGAACGATTTTGTCCGACGGCCACCGCGTTTAACTGACCTCCCGCCTCCCTTTCACCCCACCAATTCCGTTGTTCGCGGGATTTTCGGCAGCTCTCTTGCGATACGCGGAATACGGGTTTCGACGCTATCGTCGCAGCAGTGTACGAGGGCCGCGCGCGATGACATTATCGTAAAAGCGGAGAAATACGGGGTGAGGGAATCGGATCAACGACAACGATAGGTATTATTATATTATTATACCGGGCGTTATTTATGCGACGGCGTATACAATACGGGAACGCCGCGGGGGGGCGCCCGGCCGGTGCCCCCGGGGCGGGCGGATTTCGGATTGTTTCTATACGAGAGTACGGGGGCGCCCATTGTTCTTCTTCCCGTCGCGGCGTAACGATCCGCTCGGCGCGGGCGGATATACGCGGTGCGGCACCGGGACCCGGGAGGGCCCGGCGAAAGTGTACGCGGGACCGGCGGGACTATCTGCAGCGTGCGTGCCGGAAACGTTTTCCGTTACGGCAGACCGATTTTCCCGGGGTCCTCTGCGCCGCCGTTCCCAACGCGTATATTTACGATGAGTTTCGCGTATATTATACTTCTGCACCTAACCTAACCGAGAAAGTTGTTTCGGTTAGCTTCTCTTCCCCCCCCCTTTTTTTTCTTTTTGTTCGCCACTGCGGCGGCAGTATTTTCGGTCTGCGGATTTAGAAAAAAAAAAAAAAATGTTTTTTCTCTTGAGAGTTTCGCCAGAAACGGCGCGGTATAGAAACGAGACAGGGGGAGAGGGCGGGAAGGGGACGGAATTTAAGGTGTTCCGGTGCGCCCCGGTGGACGACGCGACACTTCAGCGATTATTGCGCGCGGAGTAAAGTATTTGATAGCGAGACGACCCGGGGAAAGAAAAAAAAAACGACCCGGAACGTTCGATAAAAGAAAGAGACCCCCGGTGACGTTCGGAACGGTATATACGGTTTTTGTTTGTTTTCATACGTCTCGCGGATGTATACTGCAGACTATATACAAACCGTAAATAAATAATCTCCGGCCGTCCTGTGCGAAATGCGCGTACCCTGTGTATATATCGTGTACCTCTCCATCGGCTTGATGGCTATCGTTTCACATAAATTCACTGCGTGTACAATATCGAACGGTGCAGTACAGAAATCGCGACATTGTCGGGGTTTTCGCCCATCGTCCCCACAACAAGTGTAACGCGTAAATCATTTTATTATTATTATTATTATTATTATTATTATTATAATTATTATTATTTTTGTGTTTTACTCGCGATTCGGGTCGGTAAAAGTTATAAAATATAAAATCAAAACAAACATTAAAAAAAAGCAAGCAATTATTACCACGAGCAACAAGTCGAGGCCATTCGACCGCGGTATTTAATTCGTATATACATATTATTATTATACTATAACCGGGAATCGGCGGAATACGTATTTTTATTTTTATTTTTTTTTTTTTTTTTTCATATATATTTATATATATATATATATACTTATTTTTTATTATGATCTAGTGCGACCGCGGATAAATGTGCGATGATAGGCTTTGTAGTTTGTTTCGTTCATTGCTTTCGTTTGGATGTAAACGCGTCGTAATGATTGTTGTACGCGCGTCTCTGCGGTAATAATACAAGAAGGTGTGTGCATCCGCGGGATTTCATAATTATATCGTATCGCAATCATAACGCGCGCGCACGGGAAATAAATTGTCGGACCCTGCGAATACATCATCCTGTGCACGAAACGTTCTGCGTCGTTATATACGATTGGAAGTAAACGGCTTTCCCATAAGTATGGGTTTCGATAATTTATAAGTACGCGATGTTTCGTAACATCGAATGATTAATATGATAAATGCGAGTAAATGTTGTAATAATAACAATGTTTTGACAAGATCAGCGGATACACGCACCGCAGCTGCGGATTGGACATTAGAAGTACGGCAAAACAGATTGCGCAGTTCGAAAGAATATTAATTGTGATGAATTATCGAGGTATAACAACAGACAGATACACAATTTATAGTCATGGTAACAGAATATTGTTTTCAACAACGCGCCGAAGAACGAGAATAATATTAATTTTGAACTTTGCACGGTAAAACTTTGCTCGATTTTATGCGATTGATGCCGTATACGATAATTTTATTTACGTCTATAGGTAGGAGCGACGGAGCAATATCGATTTTACATAGTACAATAGGTATGCTTTGTGTGGGAAGCACGTGTTTTAATCTCGTTTGCCGTTTAGACGGGATATTTTTCCGAATTTTCTTTCCCTAAACGTAACAGAAAAAAACAATTACGGATAAATCAACCAGTTCGATTATCAATCGAATCGATTTTAGTTATTTCGTCGTATATGCGCTAAATTTTTTTTTTGTGTTAAAAAACGATCGTAATTATTTTTGTAAACTGCGATAATTTACAGTGTATACAAACAAAAACGTATCGATCGAAAACGGATCGATTCGACGTAATTTTGTCGTCGATACGACAAAAGTAACACGAGTAATATTGTTAAAATGCATTTTCGATTCCCGTTGCGGGCATGTTGAAACAATTATCGTTTCAATCGCGTTGTAATACCGATCGCAACTATGTGTGTACACGACGGTGCACGTGGACGCTCTGCGCGCGCGTTCAAAACGATCGGCGAAATTTAATTTGCAACGAGTGGGGAGGGGGAGGGGAAGGGAGGGAATAGAGAAAAACAAGTTGTACAACACAGTGTCTGCGTACCGAGGCGATAGACACGACGGATGACCGCGGGTTCGATCGCGCGCCGAGAACCGATAACGACGTCCGAAAGTATCGCGCCGAGTACAATGTGTACCTAACCGCCCTGTACGCGCGCCGCGCAACGGTTTTGTTTCGTCCGCCGCGGACGGACGCGATAAAACCTAACGACGCGCCGCCCGAGCGATATCCACGGGGGAAATACGCGCGCGCCGTCGTTTTCCGCACACGCGCCGGAGGACGGCACGGCGATCGCGAACGCACACACACACACACAACCGTAAAACGATTTTGCGAGGGGGGAGGGTCGGAAACGCCGGTAAACTGGCTGCGGGGCCGTGGACGCGTAAACGGCGGCGATCGCGACTACGCCGTGCGCGCGTGTGTCACGCGGACAATCGAACGCCGCGAATACGCGTTATATACGTTATTACAGTGGGGTCCGCAAGGACCGTCGAATTCGGCGGGAGGGACGCGAAAATCGCCGGCGCTCCGAGCACCGACCGCCGGCCGGCGCGTACCGTTTGCGATTCGCCGCGCGCAAATCCGCGGCGACTGTTTCGACATTATTTTCCGTACACGCGGGCGTCGCGCGCATCGTAGGAAATCCGCGTTTCGCCCTGTGCGTTACGATCGCTACACGAATTTACGGTATTGCTCAGAAGAAACTTCCGTCGCCCGCGGAGCTCGGACCGCGCGTACATACCGTGTACGGAAGCGGTTCCGGGCCGAAATCCAACGCCCGCGAGGGTTTTCGGTGACAAGTGGCGGGGGGGGGGGAGGCGTTCGGAATTTTTTGGTACGCACATCGAATTTGTTTACACGACGGTATGCCCCGTCGGTCGGTTTCCCAGCGGTTTTCACGAGCGATCGAATATTATGAGGAGAGCCATGGTGGAAACGGGCCAAACGCCCGTTCGGTTGATAATATTATATTTTGTTATATTGATTGCGGCGTTCCAAAGGATTTATTATGAAAAATGCGCTTTTAAATGGCCAGCAAAAAAACAAACTCAAACGGAGAGAGGGAAATTGAATCGCCACGGGCACAATACATTTGCAAAATGTCACCCTTTTATTCGGTGCGTCGCCAGTACACATGCGCCGACTTTTGATTCGCGGATAGCGAACAATCGCCCTGTACAATAATACATTCGTCGTATTGCACTCGGATTACACGGCATACGCACATCCCTATGGACGCGTACCTGTATTATATACGCTAGTATAATAATATAATACTAAAGAAGAAAATAAAAAACAATTTAAACTTGATCTGTTCATGAAATTGGTCATCCGGTTATAGAAAATAATCTTGATAATGTACGTTTTTTTAGAGACTCTTTCATTTCGGTAAATTCAAATTATCTTATTTACCGCGACGCGTAAATTCACTGACGTTGTTTTATTGAACAATAATATTTTACGTCCTGAGCTTTTAGCGCGAATTAATTTTCGAACAGGAGCTTTGAAAAATCGCAAATAAATATTGTGCACGCGGCCCTAGATATTTTCGATGTGCCTCGTGATACTTCGAGTCTAACGTATTGTTGTTAAGAAATTATTTCAACACGGAATAACCTTACAAACTTGCTTCGCGCCATCAACTGCACAGTCTAACGAGCGTTTCGGTTATTTCAGGAATTGTTTTTGTCGTATTTATTATTGTTTATTTTATTTCTATTATATTGACCGATAGCTTGCAGTGCGCGCGCCACGTTTCATTCTTACTGTAAAAAACCGCTAGTCCCGTCGAATTTATAAAATACAAATTAATAAGCCTATAGAATGTACAATAACATATACCGTAGCCGTAACACAATACGTATTGTCGTCAATGATGATAATAATATTCGTTATCGGAATAGTATGTTGAACGTGTATTTATCGGGCGGTATGCGAGCGTTATTATAATATATACACGCGATTCGTTATCACATTGACGATTACGTGATAACGCCGTATCGCCCGGTATGTTTTTTTTTCCTATTAGAAGAAATTTACTATCGTATTAATACAATACAATATACAAACTATTGATACAAAAAAAAATTACCTACGTCTTTAAGCTTGGGGCGGTATAGGGAGTTATAGTACACGTGAGATATCGAAAATAAGGTACAAATAATAATAATAAAAAAGAAAAAATAGAGAAATTGTGACTTAACACTACCGAATTATAAACGTTTACACATTTCTTTAAGTAATACATTATTGATACATTTCTCACTGTTAGTGTTTTACGTTAAGAATATATTTTTGAACATCAATTGGTAAAGAATTAAAATTTACCCGACCCAGATAATTTATGAATTTTCGACCAAAGTCAAGTGTTTGTGTAAAGCACTTTAGTATTAAACAATCTATCTTCCCTCGCGAGTATTATATAATAATAATAATAATATTAATAGTAATAGTATACGGTAGGTAAGTCGTGTAAGTATAGTCATAATAATATCGCTGTATCCAGAGGCGTAAATAGAAATATTATTCCGGGCGGGCCAGATAAAACAATACAAATGTTTGAACACGAGAGACTACTATAGCTATTACGGATTTTTGATTTTTAAAATTGTGTTAATTTGCGGAGAAAAGTGGGTACGCCACTGAATGCATCGTTAAAACGACGACGACGACGACGGCAACAACAACAACAAGACGAAACAAACTGCACATTTTACGCGTACTACACTATACACCGGCGAGGTGCACAGGTACGTGCGTACAGCGTACGCGATATATTTTATGGTGCAGTGTCGGAGGGACTCTCGCGGACGACGAGACGGTAACGCGCAAACGCACGCGGGCCGCCGCCGCCGTCTCGCCCAAATAAATCTTGTGCACACCGTCGTCGTCGTCGTCGTCGCCGCCGTAACCGCGGAGAGGGTGACGGCGCGGCGGCGGCTCGTAAAAACCTATTTTACGAGGCCGTTCCGGACGACCTTGACTCCTATTCCAATACACGCTCGCGTACGTCGCATAATATATCGTATAGAATTTATAGTACGCCTGACGTTTTTTTTTTTTTTTTTGTTATTATTTACGATACTATCGTATACGAGTGTCGTATCGCCCCGCGAATTTCCGCGCGGATGAACCGCTGCACTCGTGAGGGACGGTATATAGGCGCGGCTTACCACCATCTCCTCGGACGCGACGAGAAGCGGCCGGACGATCCGTTTTCCATTTACCAAACGTATTTCGCGTCCCGTTCGGCCCCGGGTCGCATATGAACCGATAACATAACCGATAACGGTCCGATAAAGACGTGTTTGACCGTTGCGAAAACGGACTTTTGTCCGAAACTACCGATGAGTGTAACACCGCGGTGATTACGGTCGAAATCGAAAAATACATTATTTTTTTTAACCCTAAACAAAATCGATAATGCTTTATTTTGCACGATACATTATGTCGTCTCATGTCAATAATTTTTCCCGTGATGACAGTGTCGAATCAAAAAGAGGAGGAATCCTAGGAGTTATATATTATAGTGACTATTATTATAAACGGGTGACGAGCGCAAGAGTGGGGTTCGGGATTATATATATTGGCATGAAAATATATAAAAAAAAAAAAAAAAAAAACGAATAATCTAATATTGAAATGCATCTATTTCAGATAATTTACGAGGAAAAGCTTGGTGTATCGATAAGAAATTGGCTGTTTTTAGGATTCGCGGCTACCAATAACCACAGTCAATTTGGATAGAGAAGAGGATTTTACAATTTATTCACGGTTCTTATTTGTTACATTCCCACCCGTTGAAAATTCCTGGGCACGCCAATGTCGAGTATATGTATTATAGTTTTTGATTTGAACCTATATCTTATAAACCGTCCAACTGTATAATAATGACAAAAAGTTTAAATAATGTACAATACGTTTTTTAGAACGCGGGAAATTCAATTTTTAAAAGACGCGCGAGTCTCTCTTTTTTTTTTTTTTATAGACTTTGTTAAATAAAATCATATGGTTTTTATTTTCCGTTCCAGGACTATCTATCATTGCGTTTATCGAAACAAGTTGCCGGCGGCTTGATCGGTACGGTTAACAAATTGTATCGATTGCATACTAAATAAGCTCTGTAGCCTGTAATAAACGCGACAGAAAACGGAACGTAACTTTCCGTCGGTTAATGTAAACCGCGGTTAGAACAACAGGTAAATAAAATAGTAATACGAAAAATTTCAACGGTCTTCTTCGCGTTCGGATTCCGAAATTGTACTTGATCAGTTTACCGCACGGCGCGTCATTATTTCATTATCAATCGTAATCGCGCGCGCGCCCCCCGTGTGACCACATACTTATCGATTTCTTATCGTGAAACTATCGTATTTTCCGATAATTCGCGCGCGGCACGACGCATTATATAATTATACATTATAAAATAACAATTGTATGGCGCGCGCGTACGATTTTTGTTCGCCGTAAGTTTATAACAACAACAATAATAACAATAATAATAATAATACGTTCGCGACTCTCCGGGGGCGACGCGGACGCGCGCGCATCTCCCCGGGTGTATAACTAACGGCGTAACGTTATGTGCGATATGAAATATGGAGTGCGAAATGGCTCGTGCATTTTGGCCTCGGCGGCGGTGGGGATGATGCGCGACACGACGATACGCATATATATCTATACACGAGCACACAATACACGAGTACGCGGCGGCGGCGGCGTACGAAGGGACGGCGGCGGTGGTCGACCGGGACGCCATCGATCTTCTGTCTTGTCGGCGCGCAAAAAGGGTCCGGCGGCGGGCGGGGCGGCGCGGACGGCGGGGCTAACGGCGCGGCGGCGGCGGCGGGGAGGACCGGCCGACCGACCGGCGATGGCAACCCCGCGAACGTGTGCGTGCCGTGTACGAGAGCGAGCGAGCGAGCGCGCGCGCGCGTTGCGTGTGCGTGCGCCCGCGTGTATACGAGCGTCGCTCGCGTACGAGAGAGAGAGAGAGAGAGAGAGTGAGAGAGAGCGCGTCACGTCTCCTCCTCCACCGGCCCCGTTCTTTTTCGCCGTCCATCACGCGGCCGCGCGCATTATTATCGTCGTTGTTTTATCGTTCGTTATTATTTTTCGGTTCGCTCGCGACCGCGACGTACACATAATATTATCATCGCGCCCTGTCCGTACAACGTAACGCTACGCGAACGATAAAACAATCTCTAACGCGGCGGTTTCTATACGTCCGGGTGAGTGTACGGGGCGACGGATTTTCTCCGAAAACGAATCGCGTCCGAATCCGAATCCGGGCACACTGCGACAACTAACGGAAATAAAAAAAAAAAAACAAAAATAATTTTTTACGTGAGAGCGGTTTGAAAATTCAACGGACATTGTTCGGTCGGCTGCATGAAACACGCGAAATAACAATCCGATATGAATACGATTTTCGGCATGCTTTGTGTGTTCCGTGTTGTTAGAGATATTATTGTATAAATACGAAAATGAATTGTGTCGACGAGTGTATACATACGCTTGACGATTCCGCTATAAAACGCTGCGGATATACAACCGAAACAATTTACATTTTCTCGTGCCTCGGTAATCCGGCTTGGTGTTATCGCGTTTTAAAAACCGAAATTGTTTCGAGACAACAATAACGGTGTGGTTAATCAATTAATTAATTCATTTTTTTCTCTTTTCTGAGCCGTGGCAGTCTCGAACCGGCCAATCGATATGGCGCGTGGTCCGACGACAACTGCAGTACGGACTTTTTCACCGCGGATCAGTGGCGGCGCAAACGACACTCTCCACCCGCCGGCCGCCGAAACGCCTTGTATCCGGTTCAAGACTGCGACAACCCGGCTAACTGTGCCGCTTATTTTTTCACTTTTTCAAAACCATGTGTCGATTCAAGAACGCGACGAAAATCGGTTAAATTATCGAACGCTACATAGCTCGCTCGTTTCGTTTTAAGATGACAAAAATTTGGATTATCACAATGTCCAGTAATAAAATGGACCGCACGGTATAGACTCATTGCCGGTTGATTCGTGCACATATGTATGAGGCCGGTTGCAGGTTAGGTTATACCAAGAATATCGTATTCATATCTAATATATTTCGTACTTGATTAAATGTTATATTAAATCGCTCCTCCGAAAAAAAATGTTTTATTATTTTAGTTGTTGCCGTCTTAGACTGTCGACAGTCGAGTTATGGTATCCGTTTGTCATCGCGTCGCGTATAATCCTTCCCACGTTATTATTTGCGGTCGTACCGTTTGCAAAATTTTATTATATACGGTCGCGTACAATAATATTATCTCTTAGACCGGATTTATATGATCTTGAAATCCACAGAGAACCACTCGAAACCGTCAAAAAGCATTGAAAAACCGAACGCTCATAAATACAAATTTAAATTATAATTTTTTTTTTCTTTATAATTTCTTTATTACGTACGATTTTATTTGAACGAAATTATTTTGTACGTATCAATTTCGTAGTGTTGGGCAAATTGAATTCGATAATAGTCACGAGACGTTAGGGGGCGGGACTTTTAGATTCCTCTGTCATTTTTTTTGCTTTATTTTTATACGCTTGTCAGTGTTTTTTTCAAAGATATATATATTTATTTTTTATTTTTTTCGACGTTTTCAAGCGCCTTTTCGTGGATTACGAGAGAACGGAAACCCGGTCACTGGACAGATAACGATTTCGGTCATCGCCTCGCGGTGCGGGCACGTACGCCGGTGCACTGTGTACGGCCGCCGACGAAAAACGGTCGTGCACGCGATTACGAACCGGGCGCCTGGGCCCGGTACTTCGCTGTCGTACACGGGCCCGCGGCGTCGTGTTTCACGCGGAAAAGCGCGTTTTTCACGCCGAGCGTGTGCGCTGCCGCCGCTGCTGTTGCTGCTGCTGCTGCTGCTGCACAATCGCGCGGAGGATAAAACGCACGGTGCAAACGCACGGTGCAAACGCACGGTGCAAACGCCGCCGGGAACCGCGGCGCGGGCTTACGTACGCTCGTGCAACAAGTCCGCGCGCTCCGCCATTGTGCACGGCGGGCTAGGTATGTGCGCGCTGTGTACCGCGGCCGCAGTACGTGTACCGTGTGTGCACACACGCGGACCGTGACGGGCGAAACGAGCGGCGCGGCGCATCCGGCCGCGACGATTGAATTGTCGGGAAAACGCGAGTTTTCGCCGTCCAAAATCGTTAACGGTGTTCGCGCGGTGATTGTTTATTGCGCACCGCGAACCTTCCGTACACCGAGGTGTCGCGAGGAATGACGAACATTCGTAATACGCGCGAACACGTTGAGTAGAAAATTCCGTCGAATGGGAGTTTCGGCGTAACGCTCGATCACCGTACACCGTGCGCGGGCGCCTTTAATTTTTCGAACGTTTTTTTAATTTTTTTTTTTCCAAGCATTTTTTACCGCGCGTTTTTACGATTCGCCACAACTCATCCGATTCGCCGCCCAGGCGTACGTTGAGAAATCGGTTTACGAATTTAAATATAAACAGACATCACCTCCATTGCGCGTCGTATTCTGCTTTATTCTCTACAAAAGGCCGCATGCTACGCAATAATTGTGACATATTATGCTACGTTTTTCCCAAGTATTCGACGGTATTTCGGCCGGTACACGACATTCTACAATGCATTTCTAGCGGTGTTACGGTGTTTGTACTACGGGGAAAAAAAAAAATAGAAAAATAACGCGGAATTATCCGATCGCGCCGAATACGAAATGATCTCGAATTTTAGAATTTGGCGTTCACCGCTTCGGAACGAGAACATCATCAGACATCGGGGAACGCGCGGGTTCGTCGTGTATCGCGCAGAGCACGGCGCGAGGATGTTTGGGTTTTAGAACGGTACGAACGCGGAACGTATCAATTACAATTATTACAAAGATCACATTCCTGTAGGATACGCGGCGAATGTACGGACGGGTCCGGGACTGCGTACCGCAATTCGCGTAGGGAAAAATCGAAATAGCATACGAAGACGAGTGAACGGCGGGAACAGCGAAGTTACAAACGCAGTTGCCGGCCGACTGTACCGGAAAATAGAAGACGACGGGAAACTATTGTACACGCGAACGCGGTCACCGCTGTATACCGACAGATTTTCGGCGCATAAAAAACCTGTATGTAGTATACAATACAATACAACGCGTGTCACGAACGCTAATGATTTTTTTTTTTTCCTATATCGTTGGAATCGGAAATTTATCGTTTTCTATAAAACGTTTAACGTACGAGTGTACATCCATAAGATATATAGGTGCTGAAAATTGTGCGACTATATACCGGACGCGTCTGTATATAATATCGTTACACACAGCGCGCTTGTAGTTTTCATGCGTGCAACGACCGAGTAATACGGATTTTAAAAAATTCGGATACTCCGCGCGTCATCGCGGAAAATGTGTTTTAATTAAATTCGAAACAGTTACAATATATAGTAGGTGTCTGCAATATACACGGTAATTGTGAAGATCGTACGGTGGGAAAATCGCCAATTCAAAATATTACATCCACGCGCGCGATTAACCGTAAATCTGTGTAATATAATCGCACCCCTCGAAGAACAGCGTCGCGCAAATCGAAATATGAAAATGTCGGGAAACCGATTCTTAACGGTCCGTAATCCTTCCCGTGTGAAATCGTCGGGATATTCTGGCTAGAAGAATATCGTGTAACGACATTAGTCACGTCGTAATAAATAATTCACATCTCGAAAGTGTCAATATTTAGACCGGAAACTAGAAAATGTATCCTAAGCAGACACAAATACGTGTGAATTTATATACTGCCTTTAATATTAAATAAACGCAAAAATTCGAGAATACTAAATCGGGTACGAATATGGATGACGTTTTGCGTACTTTGATAGTAATAATGACTCGAAAATCGTATTTTTTCGGTTGTGTCGGTATTCTTTCGGGGGGTAGAAAACTATTCTATATTCTATAACTTTTGAAAATACCGACGAACATTAAAAACTACAAAGGTCTCGAGGTAGCGAACTTACTGTTCAACACAAATGATAATTATATACGTTGCCCATTTTGTATGGCCCGCGGAAATTTCATATCGCACAGTCACGTGATAAACTAATGTTTTTTTTTTTTTTAAGGGAGGGAGAAAAAACGGGGAGTATGCATGAAAGCGAAAACTTTTTTTTTTTCTCGTCCGAACGCGATCGAAAGTTTTAATTGAAACGGCGATGTTCGCGATAACGCGTTGGTATTTCGCAAAAGGTCCGGTATACACGATATTATTGTTTAGTCGTATATCTCAGAACCGACGCTATTCTATTCGGCATAGAACCGTATATGTATGTAAATATATGTCATTATTAGGTGCATTTTTTCAATATTATTGAAGTAAAACATAACGAAATATCTAAAAAAAAAAAAAAAAAATAATAATAATAATAGTAGTAGTGTTAAGAATGTTTGAATGATGTGTAAACGAACGCGTGCACGGTCTATTATCGTGATAGTCGTGTCTATTTGGCTAGGCAGGTATTACCTACCGCCGTGTATATTTGTTGTATTGTATATTTACATTGACTGCCTTTTTTTAGAATATTACGTAAGTATCCACGATACTCATGCAGATACAGGCAGTACGCACCTTTTTTATGTTGTTCCAACAATCAACGGAATATTGTGATCATACGCATTACAATCGAATACGTAATTCCGTCGGATCAAGTCGGCTAACAAATTTACGAACACGATACATAACGATGAGTAAATTATTGAAAAAAAAATTTTAAAAAAAAAATACTTCGGCGGTTTTTTCAGAAACGTTTCTTCGGCCCACCGTTACACGGTAATAAATGGTTTTTTTTTTTTTATTGTATTTCGTTTTGTACCTACGTGTATATAAACTGCAGTACATGTATGAAATAAGCGAATACCAAGCGTTTAAAACATATTGTATGTGTACACCGCCGATTTATTGGTTGCATATTGTGTTTCTGCAGCCGCGCATAATATCTAAGTAAATACGTATTGTTTATTTATTTTCTTTAAAAACAAAATCCCGGCCGTTTGTGCCTACTCGACATAATAACAGTAACCTATAAAGCTTATTAATATTAGTTTTCATAATATTGGCAAACGGTTATGAATTATTATGTTATACTTTCCGATTATTATCGCGATTCAATTGGAACCACGTTATTATTATCGGAACGCATTTATTAGCCGTTAAGAATTCGAGGAGATACGCCGTTCGGATTCAATCATGTTTTATTACAAACGCGGTCTATATAGCGATGGAGGGATTTGAATTTTCGATTTACACTTCTAAAAATCACCCCCCCCAAAAAAAAAAAAAGATTAAAAGAAAAAAGTAAAAATTATAAAAAAATAGTCATAGAAACCCACCGCTGTGCTGAATTCGTGAAATGTGAAAAATAAACAAAGAAAACCCGTAGCTTTTCAATAATCCGAACCAAAGAATTATTTTTTGATTCGCCCATATCGTTATATACTGAAAATATATATACATAAAAAATGACTACAGCGTTTTTTACTATGATGATCACAGAGGCTCGAATGGTAAAAATAAAAAAGGGAAATCTCTCGTATCTGTTATTTTCAGGCTTAAAAACTAGCGTCCCTCGCTAGGGGCCCACGCGTCATCTTCCTCGCGCCACTTTTCAAACGAGATTCAATAATACGTAAATTCTGATAGGGAGGGGAAGGAACAAAACAATCGCGCTTTGCTAGCTTGCTTTATTTACGTTAATTTACCGTTAATTATTTCGCAGTTTTTTTTTCCAAAATACCGAAAACCCGCCAAAAAAAAAAAAAAAAAACGTATCCATATTACTCACCGCCTTTAAAGCAGATTGTACGTTTTCGAGTACTTATGCATATTTACCTATTGAACTATTAACAGCGGACATATTCTTACCTGCGAACAAAAAAGAAAAAAATCAAAATGAAAAATAATGTATATACTGCATGTAGGTGTACGTTATAATACAATAAAGTCGGGGGGCCGTAAGTGCGGGCCGGTGTAATAGGGTTTACCGTCAAAACGAGGCGAGGGATAGCGACGGGGACGTGATGCGGAGCGGGTACACTGTACGCGGGTTCGCGAGAGCTGTTAAAGACGTCCCCGAGGGACGCGCCGGCGCGGGTATGCGGGCCCCGCGAAGTCGTCCCGGAAGCGGTTACCGCGGTCGCGGTATAAACCGCGAAAATTCATTAGGAACCGGACGGACGCGTGACGTGATGGACGGCCGCCGATATTATACGTACCGTATAACGGCTCGGCCCCCCCGCCGATTCGGAATTAAAAATAAAACAAAGCGTGTCAATACACGAACATATATATATACGCCCCGCGGTACGGAGGGGCGGGCGGACAGGCAGGTATATAGGCAGGCGTCCGTATAGATTTAATACCGTTCGCCCATAAATCGTTGTCGGTTTAAATAAGCCGGGGGAAAAAAAAAAAACAAAAACAAAAACCTATACATAGGTACGCGTATATATATGGCCGAAACTTTGCGGATTTTCGTGCGTCTTGTTTGCGCGCTCGCGAGAGACTTCGATTGACGTTTAAATTACAATTAAAAAAAACCGCTCCGGCAACGTGTTGCGTTTTTTTTCCTATCTTCTTCCACGGTATAGTTTTTTTTTTTTTTTTTTTTTAAAAAAAAAAAAAAAAAAAAACGATACCCGGGGGTGAGAGATTAATTTTCTAAAATAACACAAAACCTTGCGGCGTGTAGCGAAACGGTCGGCGCGCATTGTCAAAATATTCGAAAACCGTGTAAAAATATCGACTGCAGTATAAATGTGTAATAATAGACGGCTTTTTTTTTCTTTTTTTTTATATATACACGATTTCCCTTTGGCGGTCTTTTCGGACCCGAACAACTCGGCAAAAACAATTTTGAATTGGTATCGGTGCGACATAGTAGAACGAGACGGAGGGGAGGAAACGTTTATATACGAAAATACCTACATAATATGTCTGCGGGTTTATTTTGATTGTACGCCGGGGGAAAAAAAAAGTAAATATACATAATATAACACGGATACATTTATAATCATAACCGATCGAAATAATAATTTCAAGACGTTTTTATTGTTGTTTTTACGTGATCAAAACAAAATGTAAAAACGCGTTAATTTACGGTACAAGAAAAAATAACACCGATAGAAACGTGATTTTTTTTTTTTCAAGCATATCGACCGAACCGATAATTTATCATTTCCTCATTGATTTTTCGCTTGGAATTTATTAAAATAAAAAAAAAAATCTTTAAAGTAAAACTACTAAATAAATAATAAAAATACTATAATATCTTCGGCGTCGCACGTGCTTCGATATGCCTTATTATACGACGAATAGCGTCGAGAGTCGATACAGTAATCGTGAAAAGAAAATTTGAAAGGAAAAAAACCGCATTTTGGCGTAAATTGACTTTAAAATGCGGGGATATATACATATTTTTTTTTTCTGAAAATACGACGAATATACAAATCAACTCGGACAATACGAAACGCAATAATATGAAAAAATGTACGCGCAGCAATATAGGAGAAAAAAACGAATATCGTTCGTTTCGCTGCGAAAATGGGAACGACGCGTCGGCGACATAGTCGTTTGTAAGAGACAATAAAAACGACGGAAAAAAAAATGACGGTATATAGGAATGTCCACCTGTACTCTTCTTTTTTTTTCATTTTTTTTTTTCGTCAGTCTACCAGACAATAGAAAACGCGTCTTTTCCCCCTGCGCACCACGAGGATGACGAAGGTCAGCCGATATTCTCGGCCCGTATGACCGGAGAGTTTTTTTTTTTTTTTTTATATGTATATATATATATATATATTATTCGTGAAAAAAAAAACAAACGTACTGCACAGTATACCTAACGCTTCCCGACCGTGTGCGCGTATATTGGTGCGGTTCACGTGCCAAAAAAAAAAAAAAAGCTCAAAAATATACGAGACGAAATTCAATAAAAATACAATATTCGTCGATAAATTTTTTTTTGTATAATTTTTTTTTTCTCGTCCGTAACGACGAGGGTGACGGAAACGCAGCTGCAGCGGCCGCGGGGCTTACCTTCATATTTCGTTTTCTAAAACTACAAACGAGTCATGGCGGTTATAGACGGACGCACTCGGGCAAAAACCGGGATGCGTTTTCGCGGGGAGAGGAAAACCGACGGCCGATCGAAAGAGAGAAAGAAAAAGAACCCCGCGGTAATTTTCGTTTTTTTCCGATACGACGAAAACCCGAAAGCGGCGAAAAACGCACGGACTTGACGAACGGTCACGATTATTCGGTAGGAGAATAAATTATTACAGCAACGAGACTGTAGAAACGACTAGCGGAATAAAACAAACAATAAAAAAATAAAAAAAAAAAAAAACACGAAAACGGCGACGACGGTGTAGTTGACGACGACGGCGCGCGCGATATTCCGTCGATTCGCGGCATGTGCGATGTGTGCGCGTTGTGAATACGTGCGGTGGGGACACTGCCGCCGAAGCTTCGGCCGCCGAGTTTTCCCCCTCGTGTTCCGGCGGCGTCCCGGCGCGCGTCGTGCTTCGCGCGGCGCCGGGACGCAGGCGCGTCGCCGCCGCCGCCGTCGTTCGCCCACCACGTCACAAACCCGTCGTCGCGAACGCGCGCACCGCGCCGTGAGTCACGCTACCGCGGAACTCGCCTCCCCCCGCCCCCCACGACGCTCTAACCGTGCTCCGCGGCTGTATACCCGCCGAGAACCTCCCCCGCGCGTCAATTCGTTTTGTTTCGTTTTTTTCGATTCCAAACGGAATTTCCCCACCCCTCCCGGGAGAAAAACGACGCGGCGCCGGCACCGCCACCGCCGTAATCGACAGCGACGTGTCCGCCGTCCGTTAATCTGCGCGCCGGTAACATCGTCGAAAAACGGATACCCCGACGGCGCGTCCGCAAACTTCGAAGAAACGACCGGGAATTATAATTGTTCGGGCAAAAAAAAAAAAAAAATGCTTTTAAATAATTTGCATGTGATCGCGCGCGAGCAGAACTCGTTTGATTTCAGTTTTAGAAGTAAAATTGAAAGAGAATACGAAGTTCCAGAGAGTAAGATTTAAAGACTATAAGTTGTCGGTTTTAAAATGACCGTCCAAGTTAATAGAACGGACGGACATACTTCGCGCCGCGGATGGGCGAGAAGTCGGGAAGGTGTATAAGATATAGAGGGTATTTCAATTTACAATTGTACGCGACGATTAACCGTCGCTAACGAAAAACGATTCGGAGTAATGGTTTTTCGACAATGTACGATCGTTTAAAAAAGATTAAAAAATAATAAAAGCTTAACAATAACAATGAAAAAAAATAAAGAAAAATGGTCGCCATCGGACTGCAACCTTATTTTTAATCTTTTAATCTATTTTGTTTTTAACCTAAAGAACCAGTTACTAACCCCCTTTTATCTCGAACATTGTGACGAGAATTTCATAAAATCACCTTTCTAAAGTGTATCGACTAGAGCCAAAACGCAATAGAAAAAAAAAATAATAAAGGCCTCTCGTCGCGTTTCGATCGAAACGAAATTTCCGCCGGGAGAAAAGCCGTTTACAGACGAAAAAAAAATTACGAAAAAGAAACGCGTCGTATCGCCCCCTCCGGATTATTATTGTTCTCTTTTTTGTGATTTTTTTTTTTTTCCTTAATTTAAAACCAAAATTAATCGAGTTCTACGGTACGGTCTGCGCGAGGAAGTTTTTCGCCCGTCCGTCGGACCGAGACATCGCGCGCGGATAGGTGTGCCGCGAAGTCCTCTGAATGCGAAACGCGCGTTGTAATAATATTATCGTCGAATAAATGCGGGGAAAAAAATACTTAAAATCTATAACAATACTATTACACTTGAGGTATACGCGATTTTATCGGGTTACTAAAGCCGATCGGTTATTCGATCCGATACACGCGGATTTTACGCGTAATCGAATATTATAAACGCTTACGCGACTGATAATATTACGTTTCACCGTCGCGCTGAGCTCGTTATCAGCAACACGTTTATTGATAACACAAAAACATATATATGTGTACACGAGTATAGCGTAAACAAAAGGTACGTACGCACGCGATAGTGTTTTTTTTTTATTACAATATCGAATCGCGCGGACAACGAAACCGTATTGCAGAGTATTACGTATACGTAAATATTTTCGTATTATGGTGTTATGGTAACAACAATAAGTCCTACTGGTTACACGCGGTATAAATAATTATTATTCGCGAGATATTCCGCCTGGAACATTAAGTCCGTCTCGTATACCAAAACGCAAATGGAACATTTTAACGCCGAATTTTATTCAAAATATACTCTCTGAGCGCGGGAACTTTTAAGACGGGTTATACCGTCGGGAACAGTGGCATCCAAAATATTCGAGTATGTAGTAACACACGTCATGTTTTGGACGGGAGGGTGTTCCCCGTTTTCAAAAGTTACAATTTTTCGTGTTTAGGTCGTAAAATGTTAAAGTTTTTTTGGCTGGCTGCGATTAGGAAAATAAAGTTTGCAGGGCGCCCACTTGTCGGGGAAAATCGTTCAAATCAAGTCAGCGGTCGTTTCGACCCCGAAATAAGAACGACAGAAAATAACGGCGACATAACGTTTTAAACCGCTCGTTTCTTAAATCGTCGAAAGATTTTCTTTTTTCCCCAAAAAATGTCTCTATACATACTCTGCGAAAATAATGAGCGTTCGACGATAAAATATAATCACCCTGTATATATACCCGCCGCGGTTAGGTTATTCGTATATACGGTACGCTAAAAACGGCCAAACAAACCGATCGTTACATTATTATTACAATATTATATACGTATACGCGTGACGAATTTAGAAAAAAAAACTCCAAGACGCGTCACGTACACATAAGCAATAGAAAATACGAATACGAAAAATAATAAATTCTCTAAAACGTATTCGACCGTACACGCGCGAGCGTCGTAAATTCTATACAATTACGTACCCTGCCCCCCCCCCCATTTCAAATCACTTCGGTCGGACCGATGATTCGCGTAACCATCGGGACTTCCTCGCGGGACGATGCTATCCAATGTTATTAAAAAAACATATTTTTTTGATGACCGTTCGATTTTACGGGCGGATCCGTTTGTAAATCGCGCGTCCGATTTGACGTACGGATTTTCTGTGACTTTTTTTTTTAGTTTTTCGCGGTCCACGCGACGCCGACAAGAGGCGACGGTAGTATCACGTTGAAAAAAAAAAAAAACACTATAATAATCGTATACGGTTCGTGACGCGCGACCTACGCGGTTTTCCGATACGACAAAAACAATTGTTCAAACACGTAGGTATACATAAAAATATAATACATTATTATGATATTGTGGACGACCGACTGTGTAAAAAGCGCGATAATCTCGCGTGTGCCTACGATACCGAACACGCGATCCGACTGTGCGGCGCGCGCGGTATCCCTGCAGCCAGTACACGCGTAATACACGGTAATAAAAAAAAAAAAAAATTATAAAAACATTCGGATGATGAAAACGCAAAGTACGCAGCGTTTTATACGGGTTTTGTTTTTCTATATGCGTACCGGTGTGGGGGAGGGGGATAGGGAAAATATCGGACACGAGAAACGCATTAAATGTAATAATAACATTCGTACGGTACACGCGTTAAAAAATTACACCTAATACGGCCATTCGGTTTTTTTTTGTTTTGTTTTGTTCTTTTAATCTGATCGTTTATTTGCGCCGGTATACGGGAGGGGGCAGCGTACCCGTTTTGTGCATTTAATGTAATTAAAATGAACGCGTATACGTACGCGTGCACGAGAGTAAACGTTATTTGATTTATTTCGTTTTCACGAAAAAACTACACTGTGTATTACTTACTCATGTTTTCACGGGAATTTTATTATATTGTTATTGCGGCGGCTGACCGAAAAAAGGCATCAAGAAACGCGCTTGCCGTATTGTCCGTATAGATTTCACTACGCTTTCCCGCCGGTCGAAATCCGTATAGGTAACGATCGCTTTACAAAACGATACTGTACCGCGCGTACTATAGTTTTTACGCGAAACGGTATACGTGGAAAAAATGGTGATGGGTGGGAAGGGTGGTTGGGAAGGACCCGGGAAAATACGGTATTTTTCGCAGTCTGAACCGAGCCGATAACGTTCCGTCTGCCCGTTTGAAAAGTGAAAACCGTAAGGTATCGCCGCCGCCGGAGAGACGACAATCGTAGTTTTTATTTCTTTTTTTACACGCGTTTTTTTTTTTTTTTACGTCCCGCACGCGAATATCGCATATAATATTTCACTCCGTATCTCGGACGTATTTATCATCGTTAAAATACATGATATGATTATTGCCAATTGTTAATTATACGCGCGTCTTTTTTCACGGTTATTTTTTTTCCCCCCAATCAAAGCGCGAAAACGCGTCCACGTGCGTCTCGTTAAGTCGTGACGAATCTCCCCGAGTCGTCGTCTCCGCGAGGCCCCGCGACGTTAAATTTATCGACTTACCGCTCATATAGGTTATTATTATTATTATCATTGTGTAAGGCGGCGGCGGCGGGAACACACACGTCGAACGGACCGGCGGAGGCTGCGACTACTAATTAAAATAGCCGGGTCGGCGTCTGGCCGCCGCGGAGGCGACGGATTAAAAAAAAAAAAAACTCGTGAGAGAGAGTCAATCGAGTGGTCGTTCTGTCGAAGAAAAGGTCGGTGTTTTCGCGAGCCATTATAATTATTATTACCGGACGCCATTTCCGAATATAATACAGTCCGCCAACGTGCATAATAATATATTCGGCATCGGTTAGTGTGCGGTTATTATCATATAATTAGTGTCGTTCGAGACGAGAATATTCGTAGAAATAGGAATTCCGGTAACTCGAATGTTCTCTAATTCTTTTTTTTTTTTTAAACTATCGGTAGTCTTAACTATTATACGATTAAGTTAGTGATACGCGATAAAATCGACAATCAGAAATCATTATAATATACAATCTCACCATATTGTATTGTTTCCGTGAGGAACTGTTAAGTTTTACTGTTGAATATTTTAAAGTAGTAGATTGCAGTGGCACGAGCGCTAAACGTTTCGTCCTTTTTTCCGAGCCTCTTACGTTAAACAGTGACAAAAATTGAAAAAAAAAAAAAAGTAATATACGACTCGTGCCATTCTTATAGAGCGCCGGCTTGAATTCAAGATTATCATTGAACCCGTTTACTAGTAATCCGGCCGTTAAGCAATTACGTCGATTATTATTTAATTTTTCTCGCGTTTTTTGAAAACTATGGGGAATCGCGACTCGAGCCGTTTACGATTTAACCTCGACGATACGTGCGCCGCCATTCATTCGCGATTCGCGAACGCAACAGCTGTGTTCTTATCCGCCGTCGGTTAAATATATTATTATTTGTCAGTTTTTTTTTTATTATTATTATTATTTCCGTTTGTCAATTACTGTGTGCATTAT